TCCTCGGGCGCAGTCTCGCAGCGCGCCAGCCCGAAGTCTGCCACCTTGGCCGTGCCCTCCGCGGAGATGAGCACGTTGCGCGCCGCCAGGTCGCGGTGCACAACACGCTGCCGCTCCAGGTACTCCATGCCGCAACACGCGTCACTAAACAATAGCAACAACTTAGTTTTGTCATCCAATAACAGAAGTATTTTTAATGAGAATTTTATTAAATTCCAGCCGATTTATTTATCCATTATAGCAAAGTAATGTTGATAGAATCTCTTTATATTGATTTTATGTCTGTTAATTGTATGTAATAACGAAAAAAATACCGCTTAGTATAGAGCTATGGTTCTTCGAGCAGGATTGCATCAAGCGATGCTGTATAGATAGGTATTACAAATTTGGATTATCTTTATGCAGCAGTTAATTATTTGTGCATGTTAGTGCTCACAATGCGAAGTTGATTTGGTCCTGCTGCGTAACGTAGTGTCGTCCGCGGCTGCGCAGGTAGTCGAGTAGCGAGCCCTGCGCGCAGTGCTCCGTCACTATGCAAGTGCTGCCGTTCGAGCTGAACACCACGCAGCCCAGCAAACGCACCAGGTTGTCGTGCTTCAATGAACTGAAATATTATAGCAAGGAATTAATAATAATATGTGACTTTCAAGTGTCTGTGTTGTAGTCGGGTAAAGAAAAATCCAATTAAATTACACGTAACATTATATATATCTTAATTTTTAGAGCAATTAACCCAATGAACTATGTAAAGTAAATAAACTTACGACATAACGCTGGCCTCGGCTCGGAACTTGCTCGCCGCCTCTCTGTCCTTCAATATCTTGACGGCCACCTTCTGGTTGCCATTGAGGATGCCAAGCATCACGTCGCCGAACTCGCCTTTGCCGATGTTTTCTCTTATCTCTAAATCTCGTTCAGCTATTATCCAACCTAGAAAATTAAAAAATATTTTAATTCAAAATCTACTACACCGCTTAGAACGATTTTCACTGATATACAAGGTTTGAAGAAGTACTTACGGGCATCTACAAATCTCTGGTGCTGCGCGCTGTCCGTCTGGTCAGCGCTAGGGGGCGCCTGCGCCGCGTACGTGTGCTGGAAGTGGCCCGAGCTCAGTGCGCTCGACACGCTCGGCGTCGGCGGGTACGGGGGAGGTTGCTGCAAACAAATATACACTTTATTCTTCTATACTTTTGATACATTTTACAATAAAAAATATATACACTTATATTTTTGGACACATTTTTATTACACTTTTAAATGTTTATAAAATATTATTTACGGTTTTTTGCACATTATTTTGGAAAACTAAAACTAGTAACTCACAGGAGGATGCGGTGGATATGGCGGTTGCAGCACGCCGTTGTTATTTGCGCCGTTGATTGCCGCCTTCGGCAAGCACCGGACCAATTTCGTGCAAAGCCCATCTGCGTCTTGAAGGTAATGCTGTCAACAGAAAAGAAATGTTAAAAGAAGGTTTGCTTCAGTAAATAACTATTAAAATAATTGAAATCAACATACATGTATTAAATCCGTCATTGTGTCGAAAAACTCTT